CTCTATCTAAACCTGAGTGGAAGAAAGCTGTTTTGGAGGAGATGGAAGCTCTTGAAAAGAATCAGACATGGAAGCTTGTAGAGTTGCCCAAAAGCAAACCAACAGTTGGTTGCAGGTGGATTTTCACTCCTAAATTTAAAGCAGATGGATGTTTGGAGAGATATAAAACAAGGTTAGTAGCTAAGGGGTACACACAGACCTATGGCATTGACTACTCAGAAACCTTTGCACCAGTTGCAAAGTTGAACACTGTAAGAATTCTTTTATCTCTTGCTGCTAATTTGGACTGGCCACTGCAACAATTGGATGTAAAGAATGCTTTTTTAAATGGAAAACTTGAAGAAGAAGTATACATGAAACCTCCTCCTGGATTTGAGAATAAATTTGGTTCAAAGGTTTGCAAATTAGAGAAAGCCTTGTATGGACTTAAACAGTCACCAAGAGCTTGGTTTGATAGGTTTACAAAGTTCATAAAGAAGCAAGGTTTTAATCAGGCTCAAGCATACACTATTCATGAAGTTTTCAGGCAAGGGGGAGATTGCAATATTAATTGTCTATGTAGATGATATTATCCTCACAGGAAATTATCATACAGAGACTAAGAACTTGAAAGAAAAACTTGCCCATGAATTTGAAGTTAAGGACCTAGGAGACCTAAAATACTTTCTGGGAATGGAGATGGCTAGATCAAAGAAGGGTATTGTTGTCTCACAAAGAAAGTATATCTTAGATCTTCTGCAGGAAACTGGAATGAGTGCATGCAAACCAGCAGACACTCCAATTGACTCCAGTCAGAAGTTGGGAGATATTAAGGAAGGAACTCCGGTTGATATTCACCAATATCAAAGATTGGTGGGAAGATTAATATATCTGGCACATACAAGGCCAGATATTGTATTTGCAGTAAGTATGGTGAGTCAGTTTATGCATCATCCTTTTCAAGAACATCTTGATACTACTTACAGGATTCTAAGGTACCTGAAGAGCTGTCCAGGGAAAGGATTGTTTTTCAAAAAGGGGAACAGTAGGAGGGTTGAAGCCTTTACTGATGCAGATTATGCTGGCTCAATTACTGATAGAAGGTCTACTTCTGGATATTGCACTTATGTATGGGGAAATCTAGTAACTTGGAGAAGTAAGAAACAAAATGTAGTTGCTAGAAGTAGTGCAGAATCAGAATTTAGATCTATGGCAAATGGAATATGTGAATTACTCTGGATCAAGAGAGTAATTACAGAACTGAAGATGGAAATAGAACTGCCTATGAGACTGTATTGTGATAATAAAGCAGCCATTAGCATTGCTCATAATCATGTGCTACATGATAGAACCAAGCACATTGAAGATTGAAGTGGACAGACATTTCATTAAAGAGAAGATTGAAGCTGGAATTGTTTGCACACCATTCGTATCCACTAGAAACCAAACAGCTGATATCTTCACCAAAGGGTTATTTAAACCAGTGTTTGAACTACTTATAGACAAGTTGGGAATGTATGATATATATTCACCAACTTGAGGGGAGTGTAGAAAATGTTACATTTATTTCTTAATTATTGTGTGTACATAATTACCGGATAGATTAGATTAGATCAGATTAGAAGCTGTTGCTTATTGATAAGATTGTAGTTAGTCAGATCCTAAAAAATAGGATCTACTCTGGTAGTTTGTTACTTGTACATCCTGTATTTATACCCCAGCCGATTGGCATATTCAATCAAGGAATTTTATTCCCAAAACCTACACTTTAGGCACTAGTGCATGCTACAATAAAATACCGCAAAGATAAATGAGCAATCAAATGGAAGAAAGAGGAGTGATAGCTCATTGATTTTATTCTAATTTGATTTAATATCTTTATTAGTCGCTCTATTATAGGATGTGATGTGCTAGGATTTCCCTTTCCTTGTTTTAGAAATTTACATGCATGTGATCCCCAATTCAAAAGGCAGCTTTGCTATGAAAAAGAATTAAAAGAAAATCCAGGAGAGGAGAAGAAAAACTTCCCCAAATTCAAACGGACGAGGATAACTCCATAAAATCTACCGCCCCTTCATGTTTATCCTTATAATTCATTCCCGTGACGCAAAGAATCCCGGTATATAAAACTTTGGTTCCGTTGCTGGTGTCATGGGAAATTTCACAACACTTGCCACTGATCAGTACGTGTTCCTTCCAGAGATACTGACAAGCAAAGGTCACAAGCTTCAAGATGCAGTGCAAAAGGTGCAGCAAGTACTGCAGCCATTATAGGAGTCGGTTCAGAAAATTTCTAACCAGATTTCCGACCTTTCCAAATCAATGGACTCCAAGTCAGGCAATGAAGCACGCCCTTCTGTAAGCACTTCATCTACACTCTACTGAAGTTCTGCCTCAACTACCATCGGTGTGGCTTCCAACACAGCAACTCCAAGAGCCAACATTTTCCACAAAACCTATAAACATATAAAGCGGACTGCCTTGTCTGATAAACTTCCCAGAACAAACTACTTTTGCACTTTCCAGTTCCTTTTAGGTCCACTAAAAGCGTCCCAGTTTTCCAATGTATTCAAAGAGAATTTTTAATGGTTGTCGGTGCAATCATTCAATGTTCAAGATTTCAAGCTTGATGCCAAGCTTGATTTTCCAAGAGGGGTGCAATGGAGCATGCTAAAAAGGAAAGAGTAATTATGTAATAGATCTCCTAATTAAATCTAGGGAATCAGATTATGATCAGAGCAAATATTTTAATAATCAACTAAATATTTTAATATTTCTACACTTTCCCTCAAGCTGGTAAATGATATCTGGTGAATAGATATCTACCATTCCTAGCTTGCAAGTAAGTTCTCAAAATCGCTTTACCGGAAGTCCTTTGGTGACCACATCAGGCCCACTGAAGCCCCGAAGGAACTTATTGTATAGAAATAAGACCAATGTCCAGTTTTTCCTTGATGAAGTGTCAGTCTAGTTCTGTGTTTTGTTGTGTCGTGCTGAACTGGATTATGAGCAATACTAATAGCAGATTTATTATCACAGAAGAGTCTTGTCAAAGCTTTACACAGTATTTTTAGTCTCCCAAAATGATCTTCACCCATAACAATTCACAAACACCTTGAGCCAAGGCTCTGAGTTCTACTTCTGTACTTGATCTTGCAACTACACTCTGCTTCTTGCTCCTCCATGTCACCAAATTTTGGGATGAACTATGTTCAGTACTCAAAGCATTAAGGGATAAGAAGGTATAATGCTTATCAATCATTGTTAGAGAACAATTACCAGAAGGCATACTCAACGAGTCTATAGGCGCTCTTAGACGCTCAAATCTGCTTTGGTAAGGTTGGGGATATCTTCTTTTGGTGATATAGGTGAATTGCCTTCAATTTCCATGTTAGCAGTTGTGTGATTTGCACACCTCTGACTAACACTTTTGGATCCGCTCATCCATCCAAGAAATTTATCCCTTCTATGCAGTTTGAAACATGTATCCTTAATATGGCAAAAATTTTACGGTGGCTGCACCATCGATCTTCACGATTGGGATTCAAAAGAAGGGCCTCCCAAAGTGAATCCTTGTATGGAACCCTTTCGAGTGCCTAAGGCTCAACCATCAACTGATTGTTCTTCTATCATCAAAGTCCTACTTTTTTCACCACGAACGAAGTGAAAGACCTCCGAAAGAGATAATAGTTTCTTAATACTCAAAATTTGAACACGGATGAAGTTAATTTCTGAGTTAAGCCCAAAGAGAAACTTAAGTATCTGTCCTTTTTCAATAAACTGGGTCAGTGTAGTAGAGTTTTCATCACAATTCATTGTCAAACTTTGGTACTGATCTAAGTCGATCCATAGGCCATTTAGAGTGGACATAATAGTCAATCACAGAGAGATTTCCTACTTAGTATTAAAAACTTCTTTTCCAATTCATAACATGTTGAGAGATCTTGTTTCATGGAATATATCTCTTCCGGATTCTTCTAAATGTCCCTAGCAATAGCAAAAACGATAAAATTACTACTTACATCCGGAGTCATAGAGTGCTAAAACCAGTCATGTTGAGACTCCTGAGAGAATCCACACCAACCCATGTTTCATATTGTGGATCTCTCTCAGCAGGGACTTTGCCTTCGCTGTGACTAATCCTCTTACGTCCTCTAAGAGTGGTACGAACAAGTTGGGCCCATTAAAGATAGTTGCACCCATCTAACTGGTATGACCCTTGCAATATTGGGAGGTCATTGTGGGTCAACGATGGAAGAGAGGCATAGTGATGAAAGAGAATACCACACTAGCAAAGTGGCATTTTCGAAGAAGGAAAAAATCAACTCTCGAACAGAACCTAGAGGAGCAGCTTTCTGGTAGTAATTTTGTTACAAGAACGACCTTTTATTGTGTGTGTGAACGGAAGCAGAGCCCCTAGAAACGTGAAGCTCTGATACCATCTTGAAGAATAGAATTTATTTCTCAAGTGTAAAATACAACAGGTAATTACATTTTATAGGCCTGGACTAAGTTAATAAAGCAAAAGTAATTATGTACAAGATCTCCTAATACTTACAAATCTTCTAATTGATTCTAAGAAATCAAAGTATGATAAGAACAAATCTTATAATAATCAATTAAATATTCTAATATCTCTACACTAAACTATAATATTATGGAAAGATAAAAGAGCAACTGAGTAGATGAATGAGGAGTGATACATCATTGTTTTGCTTGATTGATTTTATTTTGATTTAATTTTAATACCTTCATTAGTTAATCTGATTTAGGAAGTGATTTGCTAGGATTTCTTTTTCCTGTTTTAGGCATTTACATGCATGCAATCCATGTTACGAAAAGAACCTGTGCTATGCAAATAAGATATCCAAGAAAGAAGGAAAAGAAATCCAAGGAGAAGGGAAACCCTCCAAACTCCAAAGGAGAAAGAAAACTCCCTTAAATTTCATCGCCCCTTCGTGTTTATCCTTTTGACGCAAAAAAAATCCCCATGCATAACAAACACTTTCAGTTCTCAGTACCTTTTATAAACCCATGCTTCAATATCAAGAGTCTGATTAATATAAGTTTTGGATCCCCATGTTGTCTTGTACTGAGGGACTGAAATAATATCCTTCAAACCATAAGGAATCCCATGAAGAGCACCTGTCCCCGTGAAAAACCTTAAACCTATTACTCAACACTTCCAAAACAAATTACAGAGCATATTCAAAATGACACTATCTACATCCCTTTTTATTCTCTTGTTTTGACTAAGCATGTTTTTAGAAAATAGAAACCGTGTGGTTGCAAATTGTTTAGAGGAGAGACATAAGATCAAGTATAAACCTCTTTCCTTAAAGGGAGGGAAAATATAATCTAAAACGAACGAGAAAAAGAAAAGAATGAAGATAAAATGTGATTATTCTCGTGATACAACTAAAAATGGATAGATGAGCACTTCTACTAAGTATGAGATCATACGGAACCAAGTTCTTTTGTTTCCCCACATCGGCCCACCCCACCCACGAACCAAACATACGCTAAGACTATGTATGAAACTTGGGAAATGGTTGGGGAAGAATGTAACATATGAGCTAAGGAAAAGTGTTTTATGAAAAAATGACAAAAATATTACTCCCTCCGTCCCGCTAAAATTGTCTCATTTTACCATTTCGGTCCGTCCCACTAAGATTGTCCCTTAACAAATTTGGCAAAGTTTGTGTGGCTCTAAATCATTCTTACTTTATTCTTACTTTATCAATTCAATATCAGCCACATAACCACTTTTTATTAGTTTGCGTGCCACTTCCTCTTGTCCCATTGTTAGTGGGACGGAGGGAGTACTATTGGCTTCTCCTTAGACATGAATATGACTGATTTTTAATTTGGACAAAGGACTAATTTTATTTGAACCGACAGAACTGGAACTACCCCTGATATATATAGAACAACAGTAAAACCCTAAAACCCTAAAATCATTTTGTGTCCCGCCTCTAGCGTTCTGAGGTGTCGCCTGCCTAGCCATCCGAGATCTAAGCGCTGCCGCAACCCAATCGGCACCGCCAACAATCACCTCAACCACGCTTCTACTCTAACCGTCCCCGCCGCATGCCATCCCTGCATTCTTCTTCTATTTCTTTGTTCGGTGATTGGGGATGGAATCGGTAAGATGACAACTGTGTGCTAGGTCGCCGTTGATGTTGAACGTGAGGGAGGAGCGGGGTCTTTCCATAGGAACGATGCAACGTAGGACTACGGTTTCGGTCGGACCGTTGGGGAAGGGAGTCGATGAAGGGGCAGGGAATGCCGTGGTGGTCAAAACGTTGATGGGGGTATTGGGGCGGGAGAGGGGGAAAGGGTTTGGGAGGAGGTGCGGAGCCTGGGAGGGGGCTGGAGAGGGGGGAAGGGGCAGGAGAGCTAGGGAGGGGGTAGGAGCTGGGGGAGAGGTCTGGCAAGCTGGAGAGGGGGGCCAGGGGCAGAAGGCGGTGTCACCCACCAGGGTGATGGTTGCAGTGCCGGAGGCGGTGGGGTGGCAGGGTGCTCGTGGTTTGGCGGAGATAAGATGAAAATTAAGTCACTGTGCAAAAAAATAAGTAATTGGGAGGTGAGGTAACTGTCATTGTGCCGGTGAAGTAACTGTGACTAGTCGGTGGTGGCCGGCGGTGGTTGCAGGCTGGCATGTCACTGTGGTCAGCGACAGGGTTGGTCTGTGACCAGCAATGGTCACTGCCTGGGTGCTGCCCGAATGGTCACTGGGATAGTGGTCACTGACTGAGGTCACTGTGGCATTACACTAGAATTAGTCAATGGATTATATTAGTATAAGGGTATAAATGGTGATAGAGAGCATAGAGCAGAGCACGGAGAGCAGGGGCCTTACGTAAGAGGAGGGTCCGAGCCCACCTTTGTGGGCTGGTTGTGGGCTGGGGTGTTAGTTTGGACCTGTTATTAGTAGAGTATTTAGTAGAGTTAATTTGGGCTCGATTAGGGTTTCTATTGAGTCTGTTACTTAAAGGGTATTACCCCTTGTTAGGATTCATTCTTGCTCATCAGTTAATAAAACTGGATTTCAGCCTTTTGGCTCTGGGCAACAGTTTCTACCGTTGACTATTCTGGGCATCGGTTTATTTCGTTGATTTTTATTTTCTGTTCTCATCGATTGGTCCGACCTGCCGGATCACGTCCCGCTGGAATGACGAGATCTCACAGCGATTGCTTGACAGAGATGGGGGTCGAGCAAACCTGGATGAACCAGACATTGGAGGAGCACAGCCTCCAATTAGCCGAGGTCACCACTTCACTAGCAGCGCTCACCAAGGCAATCGTACCACCGACCTCGATGGAAAATCCGTCGGCCACCGTCTCCAGCGCCGCGGATTCGACCACAACGACGAAGGACATCCGCACAGCTCCATATCCACCTTGCTACCATCGTTCGAGGAAGAGGACCCGATCGAGCGGATGGCTAGGGTTGAGCAACAGTTTGAATTAAATGGACCCCACCGGAGAGAAAAGTGGCAACAGATTGTATTCAATATATTTCATGTGAAATCCTATACAAGAAGCTATATTTATAGCTATATTTAGAGTCCTAGGGTTTCCTATACAAGATATACAAAATGGGCTAAGCCCAATACTACTAGGGTTTCCACACTCCCCCTCAAGCTGGAGCATATAAATCATATGTACCAAGCTTGTTACAAATATATTCCACTCTAGGACCTCTAAGAGACTTAGTTAAAATATCTGCAAGTTGTTCAGTTGTGTTCACATATTTTGTGATGATATGTCCACTGGTGATCTTCTCTCGGATAAAATGACAATCAACTTCAATATGTTTTGTCCTCTCATGATATACCGGATTTGATGCGATGTGCATTGCAGCTTGATTATCACACATGAGTTGAGCCGGTTTTGTGTTTCCATATTTTAACTCTTGGAGGAGATGCTTCAACCATAAGATTTCACAGGTAGCAAGGGCCATTGCACGATATTCTGCTTCAGCACTAGATCTGGCAACCACATCCTGTTTCTTACTTTTCCATGAAATTAAGTTTCCACCAATCAAGATGCAATATCCCGAAGTGGAACGTCTATCCATCGGACATCCGGCCCAGTCTGCATCACAATATCCCACAATATCACGGTGGCCTCGATCTTCAAACAACAATCCTTGTCCTGGAGTTTTCTTGATGTATCTCAAAACTCGAATAGCTGCATCCCAATGTCCAGTACATGGCTTATCAAGAAACTGGCTAAGAACACTTACCGCAAATGAAATATCTGGTCTCGTGATGGTAAGATAATTCAATTTTCCGATGAGTCTTCTATATTTTTCCTTGTTGGGCAAAAGATCTCCCTGTTCTGATAAGAGTTTAACGTTCGGATCCATTGGTGTATCCACTGGCCTGCAATCTAGCAAACATGTTTCCTCAAGAATATCCAAGGCATACTTTCTTTGTGAGAGAGCAATTCCATCTTGAGACTGTGCAACCTCAATGCCAAGGAAGTATCTCAACTTTCCCAAGTCTTTTGTTTGAAATTTGCTAAACAGATGTTGCTTGAGGAGAGCAATTCCTTGATCATTGCTACCTGTAATGACAATGTCATCAACATACACAACAAGATAAATACATTTGTTGCCAGCAGAATGTCTGTAGAATATAGAATGATCAACATCACTGCGAATCATGCCAAAGCTGCAAACAACGGCACTGAACCTCCCAAACCATGCACGTGGAGATTGCTTCAAGCCATATAATGAACGACGTAATCTGCACACCATACCAGACTCCCCCTGAGCAACAAATCCAGGTGGTTGCTCCATATAAACTTCCTCGTGCAGATCTCCGTGAAGGAATGCGTTTTTAATATCCAACTGGAGCAATGGCCAGCGGCTCATTGCTGCCATGGATAAAACCAAACGAACTGATGCAATCTTCGCTACAGGAGAAAAAGTGTCAGTGTAATCCAAGCCATATATCTGAGTATACCCTTTCGCCACAAGGCGTGCTTTAAAACGATCAATCTCCCCATCAGGCCCAACTTTAACCGTGTAAATCCACCGACATCCCACCACTGATTTGCCAGTGGGAAGGGGGACTAAGTCCCATGTCCCACTAGAATGAAGAGCCTCTATCTCAGCCAACATGGCTTTACGCCACTCTGGGTGTGCCAGTGCCTCATGTGTGGTTTTAGGAATGCATATATGAGATAGGTGGGAAATAAAGGCATAGTAAGGGGTAGAGAGGCGGTGATAACTCAAAAAGTTATATATGGGATGTGGATTCAATGTGGAACGCGTACCTTTTCAGAGAGCAATTGGCAAATTATCCTGAATGGTGTCAAGTGCTGGAGTAGGTGATGGTGGTGATGCAGGATCCGTCATAGGGGAATCAACGGGCGTGGCCACGATGGGCTCAATGGGAGGAGGTCGAGGACGTCGATGGTATACCTGTAATGGACGATCTGACATAGGAGGGCAGTTTGGGTGCTCATCAGATGGGGGGTTAATGGGAGGCTCCTGATGGATGGGCCGAAGATATGAGGTGAAGTCCAAACATGATGGGGTATTAACTGAAGATAATGGATAATAAAAGGACGACTCAATGAAAGTGACATCGGCTGAAATAAAATGTTTCTTAAGTAATGGAGAATAACAACGATACCGTTTTGGAGTCGTGAATATCCAAGAAAGATACATTTTATTGACCTAGCCGCCATTTTAGCTAATCCCGGTGTCGTATCATGGACAAAACACACACACCCAAACACATGAGGTGGTAATGGAAATAAATCACGAGCAGGAAACAAAATAGAATAAGGAATTTCATTATTAAGAACTGAGGAAGGCATTCTATTTATTAAATGACACGCAGTGAGCACAGCATCTGCCCAATACTGAGGTGGTGTATGGGAATGTAATAATAGGGTACGAGCAGTATCAACCAAGTGTCGGTTCTTACGTTCAGCAACCCCATTTTGTTGAGGCGTGTGAACACAAGAAGATTGGTGAAGCATACCCCGTGATGTCATGAATTGATTAAAGGATGCCCCAAAAAATTCTTTAGCATTGTCACTGCGTAAAATTTTGATAGAATGACCAAACTGAGTTTGAATTTCAGCACAAAATGTTTGAAAAATATGAAACAATTCAAAACGCT